GAGAGAGAGAGAGAGAGCGAGCGCGTTAAATCGATGCGGTCTTGAATGTTTCTGGCAGAGAAAAAATCCCGAACCGAATTTTGTCGACATGCTCTATTTATTAGAATTTGCATTGCGACCGAAATAACCGTGGAGATTTTATTTCAATTTAAACGCATGTGCATTGTTTCCGAATTTCATGGTTCTGTGCAGTCGCGCTCTGTATTCGGATGTATTATGTATTCACATCACACTCAAGAGCAAAAGAATAAGTTTTATCGACAATTCGGTCCAGTAAAAAAAAAGAAATAATATGATATTTTCTCAAAGTAGATTACATTAATGATTACGTAAGCGTTAAAGTTAATACAACAGACCTCTCTTACTATCTTTTGTTTAAATTTCCGTCTGTTTTAATAGATTTACATCAATCATTTACATAAAAAATATATACATTATAATTATTAAATACATAAAAATATCTATATTTAGTAAAAATTAAAAAAAAATTAAATATAGCAATTTCATAATATATACTGACAAGTATACATTTAATAAATCATTCGAGATTAAATAAATCTAGGCGTAATAATTAGATCGACATTATATCCGTAATAACCGCGTATTTAGGTAAGTTCCCTAAGGATATAACAGCTAGAGGAGCAACCGAGAAACTCTCTGTTGTGAGTAATAACTGTAATTGTTTGCAGTAATTGGATACGTGCTAGTATATTAGTATTAAACAAAATACAGTGATAACATATATTTATTCGCGTCATCGAACTGTGATACAATTAATGCAACGTTTATATTTCAAGTTTAAAAAAAAGAAAGATGATACATTTTTAATATTACCTTAATCTTAATGTAGAAGCACTTGGATAAATATATATTACTCGCATTATTTATTCATCAATGATGATATCTAAGACGTATGAATAAATAAATAATAATTGTATTTGCATGTAAATATATTCACAAATAATACTTTTTAGTTACATTAAAAATTTTATATGTACTTTTAAATATTCACCAAAAGCAACAAAATTTGTTTTTGTAGATAAAGATTACGAATATAATCCTCTTTTCATCAGTTTGCCAACAACAATTGCAAATATTCGCAAATATTTTTCATCAACGATAAAATGAGTGCCTGTAAGTATTCGAGGAGATTGTTATTTTTAAATGGCTCGCCTTCTCTTGACATGTTTTCCCCTTCTTAATTTCCCAGAACCATGTGCAGACTTCTGCACAATCTACTCTTCATTTAATCGCTATTATCTATTCTAACGTTTCCATACGCACCGTCGTTGAGATACACCTGTGGGAGATGCTTACCAGGTGTTGACACAATTCGATAATCAATAATGTGGCGCATGAATAAATCGGAGCAGATGCTCTTGCTTTATATATTTATCGAAGCAAAGCTTCGAAAAATACCGAGTGTCCCACCATGATATATAACTAAATTACGCGAGGAAATTACTTATGCAAAAAAATAAATAAAACTGGAACGTACATATATATATACACGTATATAATCTTATTATACACGTTAATAATTATTAATTTAATGCGATTTGATATCGTTTGTTCTTAATATTTTATATTTTATCGCTTTTATTTACAGCAACAGATTATTAAAGTTTGACAAGGAGAAAAGAAATATAATTATTCCGTTCTGTGAGAAATTGTTTTTCTTTCAGAAAAATAACTTTATTTTATATTGGATTTATTTTTGCATGAGAAATAAAAATCTTTCATGCACCTATTTCTCAGAGAAAAGAATATAGACTGCAAAATACTAGCTCTGCATATTGTTTTAAACTTCCTATTTCAGAATTAAATGTGCAACAATTATAATGTGCAATAATTACGAGAATACATTGTAAAGAATACAACACATTAAATTTACTTATTTACATATCAGATTAAACGTTTTTATCATTTTCGGACAAATTTCATCGGTAAAACGAAATGAAATTAATTATTGATATCAGGACATGGATACGAATGAAACGTAATGTAAGTGAGATTCTCACATGGTTCTTCGCTAGATGTGTTATTAGCCAAGTCTGCGATTTAATTACAAGTTCATTAATAGCACGCGCGCGCTTACGCCACAGGTTGGTATCCGCTCAGCACTTTCTCACTTCTCATGTTCGCCTCGCTAACAAATATCGACGCTCCTTTCAGACTACACTTCTGTGGTAATGCGACACTTTGGCGACGTTGAAATTCGATTAAACGTCTGTCACTCTGACTTTTAATTAACGATCCGTCCTGCCTCTTCCACGCTTTTTTCAACGCGCGTCCTTGGTTTTAACAATACTTCACCTGTAAAAATTGGAGTCTCTTATACTCGGCGAAAATGTGTGCAAACGACGAGACACACATCGCAATAGCTACCAAAGCATTAAAAGCAGATAAAAAAGACGTAGATCGATGAAATCATATTCTTCAATTAATTTCAAGAAATTTTGCTTTTAGTTTGTCCTTATATTATATATTTATATATATGTATTTAATGTTGAATTAGAATTAATTGGGAAGCAGCGAGAGATGAGATTTAAGATAATCTCCCTTCACATTTTCTTTACTAAATAAAATCTACAAAGTACATTAGTTTACAAAGTAATTAACCAAAAGACTCTACACGTATAGTGCAATTTGTGAATTATTCCATATTAATTGTTTTTAAATTGTTTTTTTTGTGACAATGCGAAATAATAAATCAAACAATGAGCATGCAAGAAACAGCTTCTGCGAGAAAAAAAACGAAATCAAACTGTAAAATATACTTGAGAAAATAATTTAAAAAGATAAAACGTAAAAATTCATATTTTGTTACACAAATAAATTATAAATTGATTTAAAACTCGAAAACGATGAAGAGTTGCAGAGCTGAAAATGTGTCTCCACTCTCCAAACTTCAACCAATTGAAAAAAGAAAAAATCTCTAATTTAAAAAAAATTTTTTCTTATCCATATTAAATATCAATGCAGTAACACTACAATTCTCTAGGAATAAATGTTAAATAATATAAAGAATTCTTATGATTTTTGGGAAAGGAATCACATACATATCGCTTTCATTTATTAATTAACTCATTCTCTCTCTTTCTCTACTTTAGGATAATTAATCAAAATGAATAAGCTCATTGCGCTCCCGCATTAAATGATTCATTCATCACTGGAAAATGCAATGCGACGAAAGCAGCTGCACGAATAATACTCTTCACATACGTCCTCGCGTCACTTCTCCTGTCCTCCTGTTTATTTGTCTTTCTCTCCCATCTCCCGACTCGAATGCGTGAAATGAATATTTGCGCCCGAGCTCTGGCAGCACTTTACACGGACCATACCCTAGAGCACTGCTCTTTTTCTTTCTCTTTTTTTTCTACATCGGATGAACGTAAGAGTAAGAGAGCTAACCTTTCTGCATTAAAAGCGCCACGTGTGTTATCGTATAAATTCTCAACGTTGGTGCTGTAAGTTTTCGTAAACAAATCTCATCAAACGCCGAGAATTACACGTTTATATATATAGAGCACGGCGTTTATACTCATATATAGGTATAGTACGTTGCATGGGGATAGCTAGAGTGATGAGCGAGAAATGAGTTTTTTTCCGATTTGATCGAAATACACTTTTCTAATTGAAAATGATTAAAATAAAAAACATTCTCATCGAAAATAATTTTCCGATTCCTGCATGAAAGCAAGATTTCACAGATTTCTTGCTGCAGTAATAATTAACGCACTGTAAAACTTGATTTAATTGAATGAATTGAATCACATTTCTCCGGATTCATTTTTAAGTTTGACATGCGCGAATACTTATATATGCGTCGACATAAACATCGTTATTGGAACGTGCGCTCGAAGAGCGACCAAATTAAACGACCGATCTCCACATCGATACTTAACTAACTACCGATAATAGAGTTACATCTGATAATAACGCATCGATTTTCACTGTCACGCCACTCTCAGCTCGCAAATGTTCGCAAATGTCGCGGAAATTTATGGTGCGCACGTGCGCACGTATTCCTATGCTGAACGACTCCCCTATGCTGATGGTAACATTATATGCTATAGTTGTTACATCGTAATAAATGTTCTCTTTAGGCAAGCTTGAACCATTTTGCAATTAATAACTAACAAATCAGGAATAAAATTTAATTTGCAAATAAGATACGATCAATCTTTATTTGAAGAAAATGCGTCTTGAATGCGTTTCGCAAAAACCACCAGAATTATCGGAATTTGTCTATATCAAATTTTCATCTACTTACATAATGATATATGTCAATAGAAATGTGTTTATGAATATTTCTTTAGTAATATACCTTTTATATATTCTTATACATATAATACATATGTGTCTTTTTATTATATATATATATATATATAT